ACAGTCTCTTCATTAATCGTTTGCCACTTGAATACTCTATTCTCCGCATAGTCTTTATGGTCACGTATATATTTCCTGCGTTTCTTAATTCGTTGTTCTTTTTTCAATATGTTCTAAAAAAGCTTTAAGGTTATCTGATTCTGTTCTATAGTCATCTTTCTCTTTAAATGGGGTGAGTTTATCACGTATGTTATTAATTTCACCATCCAGATAACCCTAGTTTCTTTCTTTTACGTAAAATGAGAAATTTCAATAAATCCAACCCAGCAGAGTTGAAATACTGAAACCATTCAGACGTACTATTAACATCTCCTGTCTCTGGGGGAATATCCCATCTCAATGAGCGGGGAACCATATGTTCTTTCACATATCTATCAAGAAAAGAAATGTCCCAAAGCGTTCTGACCTCAGCTGAGGTCATGTTACGTAACTGTATAAATAATCCCTTAATGTCATCTGTATCCTCATTAATGGTAAATACATCATCTGATATCATCGGTCTCATAGACCTAATCTCAAAAATATCGGTCATTATGCAAAATTGCAGAGTAGCAGCTCAACTTCAAATAGGTAAAGGTCAACAGTAATTTTCAAAATAATAGTGAGCGCTTAAAAACAGCTAATAAAAATCCCAAAATAAAAGAAGAAAACAGCAGCTGAACACCAAAGAGGTACCATATGAACCTTCTCAATAAAATGCATAAATTACAAGGGAGAGGTGCAGCGCTAGCTATATGAATATACTAATATATCTGATAAGCATACATATAAATCAATAAAAAGTGCTATTAAAGTGCAGAATGGTGACTAAATGATGAATTCAGTCCATAACGTGCTCAGAATCCAAGAGAGTCCTTTAAGAGCTCCAATCCCTGGATTCGTGGATGAGGTGAATAAAGGTAAAATTGCGCACTCACCAAATGCGCAATTCAAATGCGCATTCAAAGCTGATATTCCCGAGGTCACCATATGGATCTGGTCAGATCTGGTCACAGAAAGCCCTCCGCCACCTGGTAGTGTACTCCACACTTAGAGGAAAAGGCCGCTCTGCAGATGTAAAGGACTCCCAACAGAGCCCAAAGAACAAAGGAGGCCAAATAGTGTGATACCAGATAGGTAAGGGGTATTTATTCCCCAAAAACACACAGTAATATACAGGCAGAGGCAGGAAGGATACTGACCCATACAGTGGATATGTAATGGATGGCCGCCGGGGCCCTCGTGGCGCCGGTCGGCGTGACGTCACACTGCTTGTAGCCGCTCCCTGACGCGTTTCGTGCGAAGGCACGTAGTCATAGGGGGTTAGCTTACAGCAGTGGACGTCAGTGTAAGCCCTAAATAGGGAAAGTGGCGCATGCGCTGTAATCGCGCGCCATTTTCCCGTCAACAACACTCCGCACACATGTCTCCGTATAGGGCGCCATTTTCATGTAGCCCGCCAAACAGCGCATGCGCGAGCGCTGTCAGCACGGTATAGACAGCATAACAATGATCACCAGGGAAAGGTGTGTAGCCCAGCAACCAGTGCATGGAGACAATCAGTAGCAGTCTCATGGGCAATTGAAAACACCATCCAGACCAGGTTACTAATTGGTCATCAGATGGACATCTTACCCAAAGCCTTATATATAAAATATAAGTATAAATGAACAATATGCCCACAAATTAATCCGCATGTTGATCAATATGTTAATCAGCAATACGAAAAAATTTTTTAAAACATTTTTAAAATGTCAAATGGTCAAGTTTTAAAATGAGGTTATATACTGGTGGTCACCGCTAATGCCCACACTCTTTAATAAAACCGTCCTCATTCAAAATACCAAAAAACAGAAAATATATGACATAATGAGTATATAATGCAATACACATATAAAATCACACAATCAAAACAAATTAAAACCACGTATAGATATATACTTATGTAGAGGAACATATCCCTTCATATACAATTAATATATAAAAAAATGTAAAAATATATAAAAATGTGTAAAAATGATTACACTATGACCCAAACCATAAAATACCGAAAGGGATGAGAGACAATAAGGAATTAACTGTTGTCAATGAAGCAATTAATGTCCATGTCTATGTTAAGTCCTTTGGGACGCATACAGTCAATTTGGTAAATCCATTTCGTTTCCATCTGAGAAACCGCTTTTTTTCTATTCGTTCCCCTCCAATGGTTTTGCACTACATCTATCCCTACAAATGTCAAGGAAGATGGGTCTCTGTTGTGATGAGTCCTATAGTGCATTGACAACGAGTGCTCTTTATAACCTCTTTATAACCTTTTTTCACATTGTTAACGTGTTCCCGCAGTCGGTCCCTAAGTCGCCTGGTAGTACGACCTACGTACTGTTTTCTTACACGGACATTGCAAAAGATAAACCACATATCGGCTATTGCATGATATGAAGTTGTTAATCTTGTAAAAAATGTTTTAAAAATGTTTTTCGTATTGCTGATTAACATATTGATCAACATGCGGATTAATTTGTGGGCATATTGTTCATTTATACTTATATTTATATATAAGGCTTTGGGTAAGATGTCCATCTGATGACCAATTAGTAACCTGGTCTGGATGGTGTTTTCAATTGCCCATGAGACTGCTACTGATTGTCTCCGTGCACTGGTTGCTGGGCTACACACCTTTCCCTGGTGATCATTGTTATGCTGTCTATACCGTGCTGACAGCGCTCGCGCATGCGCTGTTTGGCGGGCTACATGAAAATGGCGCCCTATACGGAGACATGTGTTGACGGGAAAATGGCGCGCGATTACAGCGCATGCGCCACTTTCCCTATTTAGGGCTTACACTGACGTCCACTGCTGTAAGCTAACCCCCTATGACTACGTGCCTTCGCACGAAACGCGTCAGGGAGCGGCTACAAGCAGTGTGACGTCACGCCGACCGGCGCCACGAGGGCCCCCGGCGGCCATCCATTACATATCCACTGTATGGGTCAGTATCCTTCCTGCCTCTGCCTGTATATTACTGTGTGTTTTTGGGAATAAATACCCCTTACCTATCTGGTATCACACTATTTGGCCTCCTTTGTTCTTTGGGCTCTGTTGGGAGTCCTTTACATCTGCAGAGCGGCCTTTTCCTCTAAGTGTGGAGTACACTACCAGGTGGCGGAGGGCTTTCTGTGACCAGATCTGACCAGATCCATATGGTGACCTCGGAATATCAGCTTTGAATGCGCATTTGAATTGCGCATTTGGTGAGTGCGCAATTTTACCTTTATTCACCTCATCCACGAATCCAGGGATTGGAGCTCTTAAAGCAATTATCATTGTGTGCATCACAGGAATCAGTTTAGTGTCACAGCTCTCGCCTATTACTGAACTCGCAGAGAGGGAATCTCACCATTATGTATGGGAGGAATGATGCAGATTCTACCATACAGATTGGGAACCTCTTTTAGTGGCTACATTGTGTCCATAATATATACTATTAGTTTACTGTTGGACTCATTGTTTTATCTTTCGTCCTTTTTTGTATGTTCAGAATTACTTCTCATCCTCACGTTTTCAGATTTTCCCACAGAAAGCGAAAGAAACTGATAATATTGTATAACTGAAATGTGTAATAAATCTGTTTTTATTTCCCAAGGCTTTGAATGCCAAGTAAACCCCCAGCCACCACGTAAGTAAAGTGTGAATGCTGAAGTTTAGTATGATTTAGATTTTGCTTTCCTCATAATGGGCACAGCGGGCGTACAGACCCGGGGACTCGGCACAGGGATGGTGGGAACCCCTCATAAAGGGCACAGCGAGCGTACAGACCCGGGGACTCGGCACAGGGATGGTGGGAACCCCTCATAATGGGCTCAGCGGGTGTACAGACCCGGGAACTCGGCACAGGGATGGTGGGAACCCCTCATAATGGAACCAGCGGGCGTACAGACCCGGGAACTCAGCACAGGGATGGTGGGAACCCCTCATAATGGGCTCAGCGGTTTACAGAGCTGGGAACTCAGCACAGGGATGGTGGGAACCCCTCATAATGGGCACAGCGGGTGTACAGAGCTGGGAACTCGGCACAGGGATGGTGGAAACCCCTCATAATGGGCACAGCGGGTGTACAGAGCCGGGAATTCAGCACAGGGATGGTGGGAACCCCTCATAATGGGCACAGCGGGTGTACAGAGCCAGGAACTCAGCACAGGGATGGTGAGAACCCCTCATAAGGGGTACAGCGGGTGTACAGAGCTGGGAACTCAGCACATGGATGGTGGGAACCTCTCATAATGGGCACAGCGGGTGTACAGAGCCGGGAACTCAGCACAGGGATGGTGGGAACCTCTCATAATGGGCACAGCGGGTGTACAGACATGGGAACTCAGCCACAGGGATGGTGAGAACCCCTCATAAGGGGCACAGCAATTTTGTGAATATTTGTTATCAGAAACAGCAGAAATACAACAGGATGTAGTCAAAGACTATGGGGATGATACAGGAGATGGTCAGAGACTGTAGACATTATACAGGAGATGACCAGAGACTGCAGACATGATACAGGAGATGGTCAGAGACTGCGGACACAGTACAGGAGATGACCAGAGACTGCGGACATAGTACAGGAGATGGTCAGAGACGGCAGACATTATCCAGGAGATGGTCAGAGACTGCAGACATAGTACAGGAGATGGTCAGAGACTGCAGACATATACAGGAGATGGTCAGAGACTGCAGACATAGTACAGGAGATGGTCAGAGACTGCGGACATAGTACAGGAGATGGTCAGAGACTGCAGACATAGTACAGGAGATGGTCAGAGACTGCAGACATAGTACAGGAGATGGTCAGAGACTGCAGACACAGTACAGGAGATGGTCAGAGACTGCAGACACAGTACAGGGGATGGTCAGAGACTGCAGACACAGTACAGGGATGGTCAGAGACTGCAGACATAGTACAGGAGATGGTCAGAGTCTGCGGACATGCTACAGGAGATGGTCGGAGACTGCGGACATAGTACAGGAGATGGTCAGAGACTGCAGACATGATACAGGAGATGGTCAGAGACTGCAGACATGATACAGGAGATGGTTAGAGACTGCAGACATAGTACAGGAGATGGTCAGAGACTGCAGACATAGACAGGAGATGGTCAGAGACTGCAGACATAGTACAGGAGATGACCAGAGACTGCAGACACAGTACAGGAGATGACCAGAGACTGCGGACATAGTACAGGATATGACCAGAGACTGCAGACATAATACAGGAGATGGTCGGAGACTGCAGACATAATACAGGAGATGGTCAGGACTGCAGACATAGTACAGGAGATGGTCAGAGACTGCGGACATAGTACAGGAGATGGTCAGAGACTGCAGACATAATACAGGAGATGGTCAGAGACTGCAGACATGGTACAGGAGATGGTCAGAGACTGCGGACATAATACAGGAGATGGTCAGAGACTGCAGACATGGTACAGGAGATGGTCAGAGACTGCGGACATAGTACATACTATAGACAGGGGTGGACTGACAGCTCATGGGGCCCCCGGGCAATAGGGGATCATGGGGCCCCTGTGTCCTTGCCCAAACTCAAAAAAGCCTATGAAAAAGGTACCAGGGGCATCTCATGGGGCCCCCTACTGACCCCGGGCCGTGCCAGAGTTTGCAAATGGTCAGTCCGCCTCTGGTCAGAGACTGCAGACATAGTACAGTGAACAAGACTGCAATACTGTAACAAAGCAATAGGGGGAACACAGACTGGTGTCTGCAGGGGCCCCGAGGGCTGCACAGAGCGTACCAAAGGGCCGCAGGTCGGACACCAGGGATGTAGGCTATTAAAATTATGCCGGATATCGTTCCCCATGAATCACGTTTGTATTTATCTTCTTTTTTCAGCTCCTCCGTGTGTAATGCCAAACAGCGTTGCAAAAATGGGCGAAATCTGCCCTCCTTACTGCATCGCAGAACTGCCTCCTCTAGAAATGAAATGTCCTAAGATAGCAAAGAAACTCTGTTTTTGTGCCAAGGGGTATATCTTTTATTCTAACAAATATTTAAGATGCATTTCACTTGAGGAATGTAAGATACTGAGACATTGTGACTGATGGGAAAAAAAAGTCCTGTTATAAAGAATGTTCATCTCAAATCTGCGGTGTTTGAATTTCTTTGTGCTGAAATAGTAAAAAAAAAAAAAAAATGATACTGCGGTACTTTAATTATACTGCAGTCCAGGGGTGGGCTAACAACTCGAGGGGCCCCCTGGGCAATAGGGGATCATGGGGCCCCTGTGTCCTCACCCACATTCAAACCACACCCAAAAAAGCCTATGAAAGGTACCAGGGGCATCTCATGGGGCCCCCTACTGACCCTGGGCCCTTGGGCAGTGCCTGAATGGTCAGTCCGCCCCTGCTGCAGTCCCTGTACAGCAGAGCTCAGACCGGGAGATGGAGAAGCAACAGGGGCGTCCCTAGGGTTGGTGTCACCCGGTGCGATAACACTTGGTGACACCCCCTCCGATGATCCCCGCAGGATGGATCGGATCTGCAGATTGAGCATAATGGATTGGAGTCCGATCCATTATGCTCCCCAATCCACAGATCAGGGGCGGACTGACAACTCATGGGGCCCCCCGGGCAAAGGGGATCATGGGGCCCGTGTCCTCGCCCACACTCAAACCACACCCAAAACAGCCTATGAAAGGTACTAGGGGCATCTCATGGGGCCCCCCTACTGACCCTGGGCCCTCGGGCAGTGCCCGAGTGCAGGAATGGTCAGTCCGCCCCGGCTGCAGTCCCTCCCGGCTGCAGTCCCTGTACAGCAGAGCTCAGACCGGGAGATGGAGAAGCAACAGGGGCATCCCTAAGGTTGGTGCTCACCCTGGTGCGATAACACTTGGTGACACCCCCTCCGACGATCCCCTCAGGATGGATCGGATCTGCGGATTGAGCATAAAGGATTGGAGTCCGATCCTTTATGCTCCCCAATCCACAGATCAGGGGTGGGACTGACAACTCATGGGGCCCCTGGGCAATAGGGGATCATGGGGCCCCTGTGTCCTTGCCCAAACTCAAAAAAGCCTATGAAAAAGGTACCAGGGGCATCTCATGGGGCCCCCTACTGACCCCGGGCCCTCGGACAGTGCTCGTTTCCAAATAGTCAGTCCGCCCCTGCCCAGATCCGATCCATCCTGCGGGGATCATCGGCTTGCAACCTATACGGGGGTGACACCGGACCCGCTCCACGAAAAGATAAGTTGTAAAGAAAGCCGACGATGCCCACAGGATGGATCGGATCCATTATGCTCCCAAATCCTCAGATCCGAACGATCCTGCAGGAAATGTTGGCTTTCTTTACAACTTACCTTTTCGTGGAGCGGGTCCGGTGTCACCCCGTGTGGTAGGTGTCACCTGGTGCCGCGCGCAACGCCTGCACCTGCGAAGCAGTACAATCGGCCAATCGGCAGTGCTAAAAAAGACCACGGAGAGCAAAGTGCTGGACGTGGAGCTCATCAGTCTTGCTGCTGCTTCTCCTTTCGTCGTCCAATCACAGGCCTGCGAGTGTGACCGACCTGCAGCAGAGATCATTTAGGAATTCCACAAGTAAAAACAAACGAGCGCCGGGTTAATGGTAGTGTGGATGAATAGCTGCCAGCATAAAGAGGGAAACCTCTAAAAACCTCCAGTAAAAATGTGTACAAATATAAATATCAAATCAAACATAAGAGTGCGCTAAAAAACATATACAATCAGGTCCATAAATATTGGGACATGGACACAATTCTAACATTTTTGGCTCTATACACCACCACAATGCATTTGAAATGAAACGAAACAAGATGTGCTTTAACTGCAGACTGTCAGCTTTAATTTGAGGGTATTTACATCCAAATCAGGTGAACGGTGTAGGAATTACAACAGTTTGAATATGTGCCGCCCACTTGTTAAGGGACCAAAAGTAATGGGACAATTGGCTTCTCAGCTGTTCCATGGCCAGGTGTGTGTTATTCCCTCATTATCCCAATTACAATGAGCAGATAAAAGTCCAGAGTTCATTTCAAGTGTGCTATTTGCATTTGGAATCTGTTGCTGTCAACTCTCAAGATGAGATCCAAAGAGCTGTCACTATCAGTGAAGCCATCATTAGGCTGAAAAAACAAAACAAACCCATCAGAGAGATAGAAAAAACACATAGGTGTGGCCAAAACAACTGTTTGGAACATTCTTAAAAAGAAGGAACGCACCGGTGAGCTCAGCAACACCAAAAGACCCGGAAGACCACGGAAAACAACTGTGGTGGATGAGCGAAGAATTCTTTCCCTGGTGAAGAAAACACCCTTCACAACAGTTGGCCAGATCAAGAACACTCTCCAGGAGGTAGGTGTATGTGTGTCAAAGTCAACAATCAAGAGAAGACTTCACCAGAGTGAATACAGAGGGTTCACCACGAGATGGAAACCATTGGTGAGCCTCAAAAACAGGAAGGCCAGATTAGAGTTTTGCCAAACGACATCTAAAAAAAGCCTTCACAGTTCTGGAACAACATCCTATGGACAGATGAGACCGACATCAACTTGTACCAGAGTGATGGGAAGAGAAGAGTATGGAGAAGGAAAGGAACTGCTCATGATCCTAAGCATACCACCTCATCAGTGAAGCATGGTGTGGTAGTGT